GGGTTGATATATATTTATCTAGCATTTCAGCTGTAGTATCTGGACCCAGTCTGGACACGAAAACACTCATCTTTATGAACTACAGTCATCTGGTCGGCGGATTTACGAGTACCAATCAAAACTTTATGGTCAACTTGGCATATGTTCGCACGACTATCAGCGCTCTGCTCATTAGACTTATGTGGGTATTTTCGTAGCTTACGGAATGAGTCCGGGTTTGCAGATGAATCATGTATATGATAAAGAACTCACAAGAAACTCAAAATTGCAAAACCAGTCTATCGATACATTTCTAGATATCCTACTGCAAATTGTACTTTAATCATGATCATCCCAAACCGATTTTGACAATGTGGCACTATAATCTTGTTCATTTTTAGTCCCCGTTCGGATGCAATTCAAAAACAGGGACTTATCATGATGGATTAACTTCTGTGTGTCATGTGTCCGTGCATCTTAGACATGCCTGGACCAATCACAATCAAACTTCACACATACATCATACGTAATATTATACATATGCACATCAATCTGTTTCACGCTCTGATTCAAGATGACCGAATGGAGACCATTTCTTGTGCTGAAAAATCATAAAAATAAAAAAATTATGGATGGATTTTGTTAAAATTTAGTACATCCATTGGACATTATGGGACCTTGATGCATGTCATTCTGTTCTTCAGATCAGATTTAATATGGCTGACCAATGGCCATTTTGTTTTCAATGCAATATCTCAATATTGACATTGTCAAGTACTTGTTTGATGATCAGATAAAAGATGACTGAATGTCAATCATTTCAGTGTTAACAAATCAACATAATCAAACATCAACTTCTGAATCCATATGTCTGACATGTTTATGTTTGAACTATATTACTATAAATAAAATTATATATCTTAAGTTTGATAACTAACAGGGACTGTGCCATGCATGGCTTGTTGTTTCATACAATCGACTACTCATATGTTCTCTTGTTTGACATGCATAGAATGGGATCGCATGCTTACAAATCATAAGAGATTGTCTCCCTTGAGATTTTCATTGCATACATGGTTATAAAACTTAGTCATACTCAGTTAAACTCTTTGGTAATACATACAAAAACATCTCCATCTCTGATAGAATATGCCCTGTCTGTGATCTTGGAGAAATTGAAGATGAGAAACATTTCCTTTTTACGTGCCAGCTATATGATAAAGAGAGAACCAGCCTTTTTACTAAACATAAAATGTATGGAGAGACATTAATAAACATATTAAATAATAAAAACGATCACATAATTAAAGACGTTTCAAAACACATTTATACTTGCTTTATGCTTAGGGAGCAAAAAATCAAACAATAACTTCAGTACCAGCTGCCTCAAAAAAAACCCCACAAAACACAGATTCACATTTATTTACATTATATTACAATTATTCATTTATCTCTTATTGTGAGATATGTATTTATTTCATTCATTTACAGTACTTTTAGTATTTCCTTTTATTTTCATTTTTTTTTTATTATTACATGTTTTTGACTTTATTGTATTTTATGTCAAGATCTCAAATGGGATACGATAGCAATAAAGAATTACTTACTTACAATTTATATGTAACCATATATTCATCACATTACCATAGAGGGTGTCATTCACGGTAGTTAAGTTTAAAGTGATATTACGCTAACGTGATAGTCTGTGCATGCTCAAACAGTAAATGATAATATGAGATGATACGAGAGTTTCAGACTTGATGCAATGACAGTAGCTCACAACTGAAAGTCATCGGTTGCTATATCTGCAAATGTGTATCAACCAATATGCTAATAATTGTCTATACATGTATGTATCTAATTAACATATGAAGTGTACATGTAGTTCCATAAAATCATGATTTCTCTGTCGTTTGGACGCTCAGGTTTGGTCATGTGATAAACTGTCACCTGATATTGCTTATTCGTAGAGCTAGTTGATACTCATGGCATCCGTTTGTGTATAGTCTAGCCCATGATGTTTCTTGTATCAACTTACACTACATGCAGGTTTACTACATATGTAGGTATATCACAGAATTTTCCCCAAAAAACAAATGAATTAAAAGTGTATTCTTGTTAACAACTCACTGAGTAATAATTTACATCAACAAACATGACAGCTACATTGGTGGCAATGTTTTTTTTTTTTTTTAATTTAAAAATTAAATTTTTTTATATTTTTTTGAAAATTCAGAAAAAAAACCCTGTTTTGTGCACATTTTCAGGGCTTGACCATTGGAGAAGAGAGGACACCTTTTTTTAAGGCCAAAAATTATAAAATGCCCTATATATATATATGAAATAATATATGGATTGTCAACAGGCATCAAGACAAACTCCATGGAATTATCCTGTATAAATAATTGTTTTTGTCAAAAATATGAAATTTCAAAATATGATTTAAAATAAGTTATTTTGCAGTGACTATCAACTTTTGTCACAAGCTAAACTTGACTTTTCAAAACAGTTACTCATATTTTTTATCCAAATATATAATGACATACAGTAATAAGATAATAGCAGTGTCAAAAATGTGTGTTTTTATGTCCAAGAAGATGAAAGAAAAAAAACCCCAGAAATTGGGAAAATTGATTTCTTAGAATAACTGTAATTGTTGATTTTTCAGGTCACGCTTAGTTCGTATTGTCTAGACAGTACAGCCATACTTGTCAGGAATGGAAATAAATCAAAGACTTTCCATGAATGAGTAGTATATTATAGTTAAGCTTTGGAGAATTGAATGTATCAGGTTTCAAAGGTGACACAGAATCGGGATGTGTAATGATTATTTACCAAGCATTTATTCACCTTAATGAGTTTCCATTCATGTTATCAGCCATATTCAGATTGATTTATGTATTCCTCAATGATTCATTTGTATTCAGTGTATTCATTCTTTTTGTATTTGAATGAATATTGATTTGGTGCGCTGACACTCCTTGGGCAGGATTAATGTGACAAATTACTTCATTCAGAGAAAACGACTTTTTCTCCTTTATTTTACTTATTGTTGAATAAGTTCCCCGGTTTTCTGTATCTGTCGATGTTGATAGTCCTAGTGTATAAGCGTGTTCTCATTTGAATATTACTTATTTCATGCAGTGAAGTGGGCACCTCCAAAACTGACTGTAGATGCTCCTGGATGGGATGGTGATATCCCGTCAGATGACTTAGATCAGGATGATGTACCAGGTCAGCCATTGCTTCCTTGTGCTACTCCTGACATTAGTTTGTTTCATACTCCCGCTGGATATGAGAATACAACACATGGAAGTAAGTACTTAATTATTCAATTCTTTCATTTATTTACGTGTAAGGCCCAGAACAAAAATATTCACAGCCTTTTTGAAATTTTTTCAATTTTCTATAAAAAAGAGCATAATTTATGTTATTTTTTAAAATAAAAATATGTAATCATATTGCCTGATTTTGGAAATTGACAAGGAACTGTTATTTCTGGGCCTAATTGTACATTATTTGTTATTTAAAGGCATGTATGCATGGGTTGCAGTTATTATAATTTATGCAAATTTTTATATTTCGTTTTGCCCTGGTATGGTGGGCAAGGTCATTAATGTTTCTCTATGTTTATAATTCTGTTTTGCAACTCAAAATACATAATAAACATAACCCTCAAGTGTTATATAGTTAACAAATGATTTGTATTTACTAAATTTCCAAAATTTATGACCAACATTTATTTTTGATTTATTTAACTTTTATTT